CTAGCTGACATTTATACAGCACTTAACAATATGCTATGTCCTTTACAATTATTCCGTTTGTTCCTCATAACAACCCTGACAGGCAGGTGCTATTCTTATCCTCATTTTACAGATGAGGAAACTGAGGCAAACGGTAGTTAAACGACGTGCCCAGGGTCATTCAGCCAGTTTTGAGGCCGGACTGAACTCAAGTATTCCTGATTCCAGGTCCAGTACTCTATCCACTGCCACCCAGCTGAAAATGGAATAATGGTAGCATCCAAACTTAGAACAAAAAGAAAATAGTCCTGTCTAGTTAAGATCACGGCCTTTCCCATTTCCTGAACGGATGAGAGTTATGACACATGTAAGAGATATACTCTCATTCTCCATCCTGAAATGATTAGAATATTTATCACAAGGAGCTCTCTTTGATTACTTTAGGAGAATCCTTGAAGTGAGTGGTAAAAAAAAGGAACTGACTGGCTTTAGGAGATTAAGTGACTACTGCTTTATTACATGGAGACTATTAACCAAAGATGGTATTTTATCATATTATGACCTTTTCCCTGTTCCAAATTCCTATAAATGTTATTTCAAATTGACTTGTGTTACAGAGACCCCTCTGAGGGCAAGAGGGGACTCTGCTGTTTAATCACTTCTCTCACGCAGAAAATGCTTGAATTTAGGATAATGACAAATGAGTAACAATTGTTTCTGGCACCTTAGTGCCTAAATTGCAGAGTATGGTGTTAATTTTTTTTTAAACAAAAGGCATTCTCATGAATGAGTTGGATGTTCTAAAGTTAACAGTGGTTAAGAACAGCTTTATTAGAATAAAGGGTACATGTTGGAAGTTAATAAAAAATAAATGGAGACATGACAGGAAAAGTTGGACTTGACTTGATACAGAGACTGTTGGAAGCAAGCTTAATTTCATGAGTGAGGGGATGACATGCTAGTAAACATGAAAATTACAACAAAGAACTAACCAATTCTTTCACCTTTTATTGTATTAAAGTCAATCCCACACAGTTTAATGCTTAAGTGGTTCTTGTGGCATGTATAAAGCTTATGACTACAACTTTAAGGTCCTCGATGGTATAAAATTCTTTGTCTTCCATAGCTGTTTGTCCTGGGCTGAGCTCAAGTTCAATTAATACATGGTTATTAACAAGGGAAGAAGAAAATGTAAACACCACAAATGACAGTAAGCATACAAAAGCAGCTTAAGATCCTGGAAGCAGTCAACATTCTATATTCTTTCAGGGGAAATAAATTGTGAAATACCATGCAAATGCTAGTTCTAGAACTACTTCTTTTAAATTATCAGGTATCAGTGAGGCTTTTACAAATGAAAAAAAATGGTTTATTTCAATTTGCTTGAGAATTCGCTACAACACACTTTCAAATAGAAGGCACTGAAATAACTGGGGTAAGCAGAGAAAGCAATACTAAAGAAAACTTGTTCTGAGCTAATCTAGCCAATGAACAGCTTGTTCTCTACCTCAGAGGACTTCTGTGTAATTCCCTTGTCTCTCTATCCTTTTAAAGAGGAACTGCAGAGATTGTGATGACATTTAAAGGAGGTCTTTGTTTTCTTCCCTTTGTCACCTCCCTCTGAGTAATCTCCCCAGAAAAGGAATGCTAAAAAGTTTTTAGAGAAAAAAAAATTCGGCAGGTTTGGTATGACAGCAAGAGGATTTCAGTGATACAGGATTTAAAATAATCCCTTTAATCTATTAATTGTGCAACAGAAAGAACACTGGTTTTGGAATCTGAAGGACTTTACTCATGTCAAACATTTATTAGGAGCCTACTAGGTATGTACCAGGCACTGTACCAAGCAAGGAGAATACAAAAGAAAGGCAAAAAATAGTCCCCAATATCAATGAGCTCATACATTAGTGAGTAAGACAACCTGCAAACAAGTGGGAGAGAAAGCACTAAGGTTAACGAGGAAAGGTAAAGGCTTCTGTAGAAGTCACGGCCTTAGCTGAGACTTGAAAGAAGTCGAAAGGGGGTAGTGGGGGTGAGGTGAAGATGAGGGATGAGTTCCAGGTACTAGGAACAGCCAGGGAAAAGATTCCAAACCTTCTGTTAACCTTAGTCAAACCACTTCCTTTCTCTGGGTCTGTTTCCTCATACATAAAATTAGAGGACTGGACTAGATGATTACTAAAGTCTCTTTCAGCTCGAAATATCTGATTTGAGATCTCAATGTGGAGTGAAATAACCCTGGGTTCTTGAAGGCTATTCCAGCAGAGCATAAGATCTGGTAGGTATTATCTAGCTGGAATGACACTGGTCAATGACGAATATCTGTTATCCATACACAATCTCATCATCAGGTGGAACACAGAAGTTGCAACTACATAGGTAGCAGGAGAACCTATATGTATCAAATCACAAACGCTTGAAGAATTTAAGTAATTACTACTTTACAAATCATATAGATTACATGGAGAACGGAGGCCCTAGAACTTACTTTCCTTAAATAATTAAAGGAAAACTGGCTGTTTGGCCTTGAATTTTCTGGCTATCCATTAACACTTTTTAACCTCACTTTGCTTGAAGAAGCTGATTTTTTTTTAATGAAAATTACAAAATTTACATTCTCAGAATCACAGACTTGGGGCTGGAAGAAAACTCACAGGCCATCTACCTCAAGCCCTCATTTCCCAGAGGACTGAAGCTCAGGGAGGTTAAGTGCCTTGCCCATAGTCACCCAGATAATGAGCATTAAAGGTAATATCTGAACCCAGGTTTTCCTGAATTTAACTCTATCTTTCTAGTCACTATGAGGTAGACCAGTGGAGTCAGAAGACCAGAAGATTCTGTGTCAGACACTTTCACTGTGTGAAAGTCACAATTAAAGGCCAGCCTCTAATTGCTTCTATCTAGTTATAAAATGGGATAACAGCACCTATATCACAAGGATTTTGTGGGGATCAAATGAATTAACATTTGTAAAGCACTTTGTAAACTTTAATGCTGCTTATTATTATTATTTCAAATGAAGAACAGGACTTTGTCAGAAAAATAACGTAATACATGTCCATACTTTAAAAAAAAAGAAAACACAATTCCCTGAAATAATTTTTAAACAAAACTAAAGAGAAAAATAACTTTTAAGAAAAATAAAATCCAAATCTAAACACTATAAATGGTTAGGGAAGAAGAAAAAGAGGTTATTGCAAATAAGTATTTGGGGCAGTTAAGCCAGATAGTAATCTAACTGAGAATAATAACAATTCCTTTGCTCTTATGATGGTTTGCAGTGAAGTGGCAGTAGATAAGATGTTAAAAGTGGAGTCTAGAAGACCTGATTTCTGATCCTGCCTCAGACACTTACCCAGTTATATGATTCTCAGCAAATCTCTCATAACCTCTTTATTCCTCATTTTCTCATCTGTAAAATGTGGATAATAGCAGCTCCTTCACTAAGTTATTCTGAGGGAAAAAATTAGTTAATATTTGCAAAGTGCTTGTTATATAAATGCTAGCTATTAACATTACTGAAGGAATTCAAGTATTTGACTGAACTGACAGTTCCTCTTCAATATCTGTAGAAGAGGAAATCTCAAACCTAAATTGCTTCTTGCAAACCACTTTTAATTAAATCAGGACACACTTTTATTTCATCATTACACCAGATGCTGAATTAGATATGCTATGAAATGAAAAGGTTTACCACTGAATATGAAACTCACTATAGAGCATTAGGGTACAAAACAAAATATTCTTTATATAAATTAAGGCCAATTGATTAATTCTGTAAGTTTAACCAAATAAATAACTTCATAATTAAGCATGTGCTCATTAAAGTTTTCAGAGTGCCGTTTAATTTACACGGCTATTTAAAATTTATAAGCCAGTAAAAGTGAACTATATTACAAGAGGAAAACTCTCATCAGTAATTAACACCTTCAAAGGGAGATTTTTTTTTTCTAGGTAGCCCAGTGGATTAAGTGCTAAATTTGGAGCCAGGAATAGGTACCTGAGTTCAAATACTGCCTCAGATGCCTGAGACCCTGCAAACCCTCTAACCATTTTCAGCCTGTTTCTTCATCTGTAAAATGGAAATTATAACAACCTGACTCAGAAGGCTGTTATATGGATGACATATCATAGGTAAAGTGCCTTGTAAACTGTAAGGCCCTGTATAAACACTAATTATTACTATTATTTTCCAGAAAAGGCTTCAAAGTGTAATCATTAACTAGTTCATTCATAGCATGCTAAATATAAAGTACTATACAGGGTGAGGATTACAAAGATTAAGACTGGAACCCTGCCTTTTTAGAGGTTACAATCTATCTTCTACATGCATAGCAAAAAGAAATTTTCCTTTAGGTTGAAAAAGTAAAAGTACCTTACTCACTCCTTTAAAGATGCATTAGCATCTTCACTCGAGTAGGAAGCTCTTTTCACCTGCCTCTCTGCGTTCCCAAACTCTGGAAGATGATCCTGCGCCCTCCCCCACCGGGGAGATGCTAACAGCCCTGTGCCCTGGACACGGCTGAGAACAAACTCAAGATGAGATGATGCCCACCTCGCAACAGGCATCAGGCCCTTTTAAGTATCCCTTAATTTGCCGTACTCTTTCCTAGGAAAGCAACACCAGGGCAGCTTGTGCTTCCAAATTAAATCCGAGTAAAAAAGGTGCGGGGAAAAAAAAAACTTGCACAGCGACAGGTTTGGCAAGTTGCTGGGGCGATGGACGCCCACCCAGCGGGTCCGAATCTTTGCCAGGGCATACAAGATCTTTCAAAACTTTTCGTCGGCGTTTGCAAACGTGGAAATCTCACGGAAACCGAGAACCACCTTTTCAGCAATCCCCGAGGGCCTCTCACCGCCCCCATTTCCTCTCACAGACAATGGGAACCCAGGGCAAGAGTCACGAGGGGGGGACGTCCCCCCTCCCGGGTCGGGACTCCCCACCCAGCCAAGCAAACAAGGGAGGCAGCCTCGGGCAGGCCCGACCGCAGGTCCCGCTCCGAGCCCACGGGGCAGCTTACCTCCTCCAGGAATTTGGTCAGATCGTAGACTTTGTAGTGCAGGATGAGCCAGGTGCTCTTGCTGTGGTTGTGCTTCCGGATCTCCTCCAGCGTGTAGTACTTCACCTTCTGGTCCGACTGCTCTGCCATCGCGGCCCACGGAGAGATCCTGCAGCGTGTCAGAAGAGCAAGCGCCCGGCCAGTGGCTCATGCAGTTCTGACCCTGGACATTCTCCCAAGTCCCCAGGTCGATCTGGAAAGGGTGGGCCCCCGAAAAAGTGGGGTGGTGGCGGCGGAGGAGGACACAGGGCGCCGGTTGGACGCCGGTCCTGTCACTCACGTCTCCTCCAGAGGCTGGGGCACGCTCTTCGGCGCCCCGCGCGCTGGTCGTTAATTGGCTGAGAGCGATGCTCTTCTTGGAAACGCGGAGGCCAGAGATAGGGAGGGGGGCCAGGCCCGGACCTTATCTCCGGGCTGCGTGGAAAGTGGCGTGCGAGTGACTTGTGGCGGGAGGGGCCGGAGGGCGGGGAAGGTCACAGGTCTATGGGGGTTACGCCTGGAAGGGTTTGTCGGCCCTCTCTGGACTGGAGGAGGCGCAGATCGGGCGAGGCCCGGGGGCGGAGAGGGCGGTGGAGGGCAGGCCCAGGGAAGAAAGCACGGTGCTTCCCACAAAGAGCTCGGGGGGCGGGGTGAAACGTAAGCCATGCAAGAATGTTTAAATCAGTAAAATCTATTTCTAAAAAGATAGCAATATTTTTTTAAAGCCAAAGCTGTCAGTACAAATATGCTTACAGATACAGCTTGCCCCCCACCTTCCAGCTCCCCTACGCCTTTACCCTGATCCCGCCTCGTCCATCACCCAGGCTCTGGCCTCCATCTCTACGCCCCGAACCCGGGGTGAACTCCCTCCTCCCCCGCATCGCCGCGTCCCGGCCTAAAGTCCCACCATCTGCAAAGAAGCTTTCCCTCTGAGATTATCCAATTGATAACTCCTGTCTATCTTGTTTGTACGTAGGTGATTCCCAGGGCGGTCTTTTCGCCTTTCTTTGCATCCCTAGCACTTAGCACAGTGCCAGGCACGTAGTATGTGCCTAATAAATGTAAATATTTTGAAGCAAAAGTGGTTGTAATCCTGGACTTAGAAGACTCCAATTAAAAAATCCTGTCTGAGAAATTTACTACCTGTGTGAGCTTGAGCAAATCATTTGACTTCACTGAATCCTCAGTTTCTTCAGTTGTGAAAACCGGGATAATAATAGCTTCACAGGGTTGTTGAGAAGAGCAAAGGAGATTACTGTACAAGGAAGCTATATCAATGCTAGCTCTAATTATTATTAAAGATAACAATCTACTTAGATTCAAATGAGATAAGTCTGAAAGCACCTTGCAAACTTTAGTCACTAATAGACTACCTTTGCTAGTTATTATATATTTTGTTTTGTGCTTTGTTATTATATCTATAAATGCCACATATCTGTTAACCAAATTATATTTTAAATCACCATAGCAATGAAATCTATTTTAATAGCAAAAGTATAGATAAAAATCTATTTTGAAAGAATGTATCAATTAAAATCTCTTTTTAAAGGAATACCATTCAGTTACCTAGATTCTTAGGGCTGTCAGGGATCCTGGGGATAGTCCATGAGCTCTTAACTTGGGGTCCATGAACTTGTTTTAGGTTTTGTGTTTTTTTTAATAACTACTTCAATACAATTGGTTTCCATTGTAGTCCTATATGTTTTTATGCATTTAAAAACATTCTGGTGAAGGCTTCACCAGATTGTGAGAGTTCCATAATACAAAATGATCTGGTCCAAAATTCTGATCTAGTCCAAAACTCTCTCCTTAAATATGAGGAAACTGGGGTTCACAGAGGTGATGTGACATTCAAAGGTAAGAAGCTAGTTAGTGCAGAGGTTTCCTTACTTCCAGTGCTTGTCAACCAAAGATTCAGCATCAAAGGATCATAGATGTGGAGCTGTAAGGGATTTGGGATGTTATTAGTCCAACCCCCTCATTTCACAGATGAGGAAACTTGGGCTTAGAGAGGTTAAATGACCTTGGTACGCATCAAAGATGGTATTTTATCATCATAAAAGCAGAGATGTCACTATTATAAACCCCTGCAACTATAGAATTACATTGTCTTATAAAATGGGCATAAATAATATTGTAGAACTCATTTATTAGAATATAATAGGCTTTAATATACTCTCAAGTCTATGATGCTCAAAAGTAAGATGACTATCATAAATTTGCCCTGTCAAAAACCATTAGCTATTATGCATGTTTACTAAATCATTGAAGTTGTTTAATGACAACAAAAGCACTTTTAAAATAAAGAATTTTTAAATTTAGAACACTTTGAGTGATAGTTTTAATAATTGTCAGGAGAGAACAAATGCCTTCTTTTTCTCTTAAGTTTTCCTATAGAAAGCAGACATTCCAAATCTTCTATTTAGCAATTACCTCTCAACTATAGCTCCTCTTACTTCAGAGCCAATGTGCTCTGTCTCTTTTAGTGTTTAATAGAGTTTGATTGGGAATAAGATCAACTGTTGTATCAGTAATGAAGGTATACATAGAAGACATCTGAATGGACGTATTGAGATAAAACTGGATTGACCATATGATACCCTGGAAGTTGCTTTGTAAAAATACTCCCAGAGACTCTATTTTGCTTGACTGTGCATATTTGTTACCAGGGTATTTTTTTTTCCATTGGGGGAAGGAGGGCACTCGTAATAGGGCTGCCAAAAAGAAAAGAAAGAAAAGAGAGTCCCTGAAGCAATTTTTAAAATGCTGAAATGACTCAACAACAAATTCCAAACTACAGTGTAGACACCAATAAGAAATAGTAACTACCCTCCCCTACCCCAGGCAGATTTAAATACCTTGTCAGATAGTAGAAAAATCATTATCCCCATTTTACAAGTGAGAAATTGAAACTCAGAAAAGTTTAAGTGATTTGCCCTTGATACACATTTGTTGTTTGGTGGTGTCCAACTCTTTGTGATCCCATTTAGAGTTTTCTTGGCATTGATACTGGAGTAGCTTTCCATTTCCTTCTCCAGCTCATTTTACAAAAGAAAGAACTGAGGCAAACAGGGGTAAGTGACTTACCCAGGATCACACAGTGTCTGAGGCCAGATTTGAACTCAGGAAAAGCAGTCTTCCTTACTCTAGGCCCAGCATTCTATCCATTGTGCCGCATAGCTGCAATCTCTGAAGCTGAGAAGCCGCCAAGTATGGACGGATTCTCTGCTGCTTATGCTTATTTGGCTTAACAGTTAACACCAAGAAAATACAGGTTCTCCATCAGCCAGCACCACACTATCCATATGTGGAACCATCGATTACAACAAATGGAAAAACTTTGAATGTTGTAGATAAGTTCACTTACCTTGGCAGTACACCTTCTGGGGATACACACCCAGATGATGAGGTTGATGCACTAATTGCCAGAGCTAGTTAAGTATTTGGGAGGCTACGAAGTAAAGAATGGAAAGAAAAGGTATTAGACTGCCTACCAAACTGAAGGTCTGCAGGGCTGTTGTGCTGACCCATTGTTGTATGCCTGTGAAACTTGGACAGTCTACCAGTGCCATGCCAGGAAATTGAATTTTTTAAATTGTCTTAGGAAGATTCTCAAGATCACCTGACAAGATAAGGTCCAGAACACTGAGGTCCTTTCTCAAGATGAACTACCAAGCATTTAAACTCTCCTGCAAAGAGCACAACTCCCAAGGGCTGGCTTCATTGTTTGAATGCCAAATTATGTTTGCCTAAAAGACTTTTATGGAGAACTTATGCAAAGTAAGCACTCACATGGAGATCAGAAGAAGTGGTAACAAGTACACTCTCATGGTCTTTCTGAAGAACTTTGGAGTAGATTGGAGACTCTGGTGAAGGACAGCCCATTGCGGCACTCCCGCATCCAAGAAGGCCCTGTGTTGTGTGAGCAAAGCAGAATTGCAGTAGCTCAAAAGAAATGTGAGATGTGAAAATTCAGAGACATCTCCATTCCAAATGTTCATTTGGACTATTTGTGCCTGACCTATGGTAGAACCTTGTGAGCTCATATTGATCTGATCAGCCACAGTTTAACACATTATACCTTGGCTCCACTTAGTGATGTCATTTTGTTCCTCTTTGAGAACGAAGGACAACAGTCAACCAACTTGAGTGGTTTGCCATTTCCTTCTCCAACTCATTTTACAAAAGAAAGAGCTGAGGCAAACAGGGGTAAGTGACCTGCTCAGGGTTACACAGCTAGTAAGTGTCTGAAGCCAGATTTAACTCATGAATATGTGTCTTCCTGACTCCAGGGCAGGCACTCTATCCACTGTGCCACCTAGCTGCCATGCTCACATATATATCTGGTAATACCTGAGAGTGGACTCAAACCCAGAACCCATATATCTGCTGATTTCAAGACAGGTACTCTTGCTACTATACCATATACCAAACATAAAAGCAAATTATTTGGATCATTATACCACATACAGGTTGAGATATATATAGATATATAATGTAAATACTGTGATAGACCAACAAAAAATTGGGATAATTGCAAATAGCATTTTGATATGAAATAATTATATTTTAAGTACAAAAATAATAAAATTTCATCATCACTTTTCAGGATGACTGAATCTCCCCATGACTTCCAAAATGTCAATAAATCTCTCAAATTCCGTGGCCCTTTGAAGGTAGATTCTAATTTCATCTCTGGCCCAGGCTACTTAGGGCAAAAGATATTCCACTCCCTTCAAAAAAACTGGAACAAGGAAGTATCATTTGATTTGGTTAGCCTTAGAAGAAGTTGGTACATGATGTAAAGACATGTAGATATAGTAAAGGACAGACCAACCAAAGTAAAGAGAGGGTTAGACAAATATTTGCAATCCTTCTTCCCTGCTGGCAAGCAAATATTAACATTTATAAAACCTACTTTCTTCCAAAGGTACCCCAGGCAAAAGAAGTAGATGAATCCAGTCTTCTTTGCCAATATGTAGATTGAAAACAAGCATTATTCAATTTTTAAAAATTTGAATTCCACCTTATAAATGAAAATGTAAACCCTTCAAGGAAGCAGGTGTATTTAAGCAATTCCTTTGGTCTGTTTTCAAATAAGTACACTCAAGTTTGGATAAAAAAAGTTAAGTAGGCCATGCCCTATCCATTACTGTCTTTCTTACTTCAGCTTTTCAAATAATCTGCATAACATTCATCTCTTCAAAATTCCATGGTAAAATAACTATTTCACTAATAAACTTTGCTTCATATGTATTGTGATTTTTATTAATACCTTTTGTTTTTAGATCATCTTCCTTTCTAGCTTCTCAAATAATTTTTATAATATTCATGTATTTAAAATCCCACATCAGACCAAATAAACCTTTCGCTTACAAACTTACAATAATTTTTATTGCTGTCTAGTTTTTCTATCATCTTCATTTCCATATGTATCATTCCTCCCTCTCCAATCCAGAGTTACATCAAATATATCACAAAGAATTCTTTAGATAGTCTGACAATAATATATGCAATATTCTGTACCCATGGTTCTCCACCTCTGCAAAGCAGATGCTTTTTAAAATCTCATCTTTTAGGGTCAATTTTAGTCATTATAAGACAGAATTCAGGTATTTTTGGTTTCCTTTTTGTTGTTTTTATTGTTTATCTGGGATCATGAAACCTATAGATTTAGTTAGTATTAACAAATTGATTTGAAAACATTACCTACAACAAGTAGGTAATAGATGTTATGAGTTATTGTTTTGTTTTTTAAGTATTTGTTAATGCCCATTGCCATTCAGGGAGGGCTTAGATTCAAATTGTGGGAATGCTGAGATAGATCATGTAGTACCAAAAAGATCTTTAATAAAGGTTATAGAAACAATTACGTTTACAGTAGCAAGGAGAAGTCTTAGCAAGGTCCCTGTTAAGCAGCTGCCTGTGCAGTAAAATGACTGTCTTCATAGCTCAATATGAATAGATGCTTTAATGAGACAACTATAATAATTCCTTTTATTTAGATTACCATTAAATATTGTATCTAGAAAGTCACATAGGTCTAACTTTTCCCTAAAACCTTTCCTTCTTCAAAGCTTTCCTGTTTCTGTTCCACCATTCTTCTCACCTTCCAGGTTTGTAACTTTCACATTATCCTCAATTCTTCATTCTCTTTCACTTGTATGTATTATCAGTTGCCAGTTGTTGCCTTTTCTGTCTTCACAACATGTCTTTATTTGTTCAATGTTTCATCGATTGATCATTAGGCAACGTTGTTGTTCAGTCATATCTGACTCTGTGACCTCATTTGGGGTTTTCTTGGCAAAGGTACTGGAGTGATTTGCCATTTCCTTCTAGAGCTCATTTTGCAGATTGGAAACTGAGGCCAACTGGGTTAAGTGATTTGCCCAAGGTCACATAACTAATAAGTTTTTTAGATCGAATTTTAATTCAGGTCCTCCGGATTCCAGGCCCTGCACTCTATCCACTGTGCCACCTAGCTGCACCTTATTAGGCAACAAAGGTTCCCCAATAACTTACCATCTGGGGTATTATTAATAACGGAGTTCTGCCAAACAGGTTCAAGCAGTATTCACTCCTTAACTGACCAGGTATTGTATGAAGTTCTATGGAACAGATTCAGACAATTGTGTACTATGTATATGTGTGTTTATGCATGCATGTATGTATGTATGTATGTATGTATGTGTGTGTGTGTGTGTGTGTGTATATATATATATATTTATATATAGTTGGAACCAAGGGAAAGATACTTTGGGTCAACCTGTCTTTCCATGATGTTTCACAAATTCTCTATTAAGGTGCTTATTAATTTTTTGTATTTTAAATATTTCTTATGTAGTGTAGGAAATAAATAGCTGTCCTAGATCCATTGCTGTGTTCCTATTCTAAAATTGGTCCTTTACTCCCTTTTGGTTAGACCTAAGCCATTAGCCACGTGGAACAGGTAGGTGGTGAAGTAGAGTGCCTACCCTATAAGTCCTCAGACATGTACTAGATGTGTGACCCTAGACAAGTCATTTAACTCTGTTTGCCCCAGTTTCCTCATCTGTAAAATGAGCTGGAGAAGGAAATGGCAAACCACTCCAGTATCATTGCCAAGAAAACCCCAAATGGGATCATGAAGTCAGACACAGCTAAATAGAAAAAACAACAACAACAAATTAGCTATACCTGAATAGAGTGGATTTGAATCTGGCTGAATACCTATGCCTAGCTAGAATGATACCAATATGTACCTAATCCCATTCAACATTTTTTATCATGACTTAAATGAAGACACAATGGCATGATTATCAGTTTTCTCGCTAACACAAACCTGGGAGGGATAGATAATACATAGTTATGAGGCTTTGGTACACACACAGATCCTAAACTTGCTTAACAAATGAAAGCTTTCCATATGGAAGATGCACAGAGCTTGCTTCTAGGAGAATCATGATGCTGTGTAAGGCAAGTGCCTTGGAGAGTCTATGAAGAATGTGTAGTCATAATGTGACCTGTTGTGATAAACTAATGGCCTGTGTAGTGGCCCTTTGATTGGTTTTGGAAACATTCAAAAAGGCCTATCAGTATCAACCATTGTTATTTTTTGCCTCATATGCTTTTAGAGAATCTTGGTGACTTTTTTCATCACAGCGTCTGGCAAGAGACCATGTTATATGGGTCAAGACCTCAAGGACTTTTCTTCATCTGAGCCAATATGGACTCAAGAAACAGCTCTCAGTCCTTGGCCTTTTCAGAAAGGTTAAGAAAGTGAGGGACAGAAATCTGGGAGTGGTTGATAATCTAGTTTTGGTTTTGCATCCAGTCAATCAGTCAATAAAAATTTATTAAGTATGTATTTTGTGCCAGGTGCTGTGCTAAGCACTGGCCACACAAAATAATGTAAATGTCCATAGCATTGAGGAGCTCACATTCTAATGGAACTAACTGTGTACAAACAAACTATATGCAGGATAAATAGTGAACAGAGGGAAGGCAATAGAACTCAGAGGAATCAGGAAAGCCAATAGAACATCAGTGTTTCAAGGAACAAGTAGCAATTTTTGGGAGTGATCTTCAGGACTAAACTTGCAGAAGGACTCATCTGGCATGCCACATAGGAACATGAACTTATTGGGACTAATGTTAAGTCAGAACTGGGAAAATGTTTGTGGTTTCTTATTGCTATGCCTTCAAAGTAAATATCTTTTTGTAAAAGTTAACCAATGTTAAGTGGTTAAAAGGAACTGGAGAACTAATCATGAGCCCCTAATAGTGTTGAGAACTTAGGCAGTAAGGGCTTGAATCAATGGCAGCAAAGAAGAAAGTTATCCTAAAAACCCCTCAGGGTGTCCTAGAGCACTGAAACCTGACTCTGGGAGAGTGAGTTAAAGCATCCAAGGTAAAATGGAATGATATAATTAGTTTACAAAAAGATCTTGGCAGTCTAACTCATAATTAATCAATATGATAATTATAAAACAAACAAAACCAAGATGGATAAAACCAAACAAGATAAAAGTTAATAGAGATAAAGGTGGAATCCTCCAGTTATATTCAAAGAATCAACTGTTTAAGAATAGGTTGGGGTGAGGCACAGAATATAGCTGGAAAACAGTTTATGCAAAAAGAAAGGGGTTCTAGCTGATTTCAAGTTCAATATGAAGTATTATTGTGACAAAACTGCCCAGAAAACCAGGGCACCTTACTTCAACTTCACCTAAGGCTTTGTGATTTCATCTATGTAGATTCTTCCTCCACCAATGTAGATTAAAACCTCCCTTTTGTTAGTAAGAGTTCTACTTTTACCCATATTCCAAGAATATCACAAACTTGGAATATTTAACTTTGTCAGTAGAGCACTTTGATAGATTACACCCAACAATATTGTCACATAAGTATTTCATTGAAAACAGGAATGTACATTTATTAAGTAGAGAAAATCCAAATATACCTTGCTCATACTGGGGAAATAGCGCACAGACAAATATGCAAATC